ACGGAGACTCACCCCAACTGTGTGTCCTGACTCACGGGCCAGGAAGCATCGTCGCTGAAGCATAAAAGCCGCTCAGGAGTTCAATTCTCAGAAGAGTAATGATATAACAACAGGTAAGTGGATAAAGAAACTGTGGCCACCCAGCCTCAGTCATTAAGAAGGACCACAAGGTGCTCCTGGGAAGTTCACAGGTAAAAAGAAGCTCTCATCCAGGGTCTGGCCGCCCCAACTGCATTGTAGGCTCAGTCCTAATTTTCTTTGCTCCTGTCTGGAGCTTACAAATCAGCAGTAAGGAAACCCAGCGCCTGTATTATGACTCGGGCTAATACAGCACCAATGTGTGTGGACTGCTGTCCGCACTGACTGTGTTACCCCCTGGTGACCCCCAGCTAATGGCAGACACCATATCATTATACCCGTTTTACAGAAGAGGAAGACGAGGCCAAGAAAAAGTGGGCAAAGTAACCACAGTCTGGAGCTGGAGTGAAACTCAGACACTCCAGCCATGGTCCCGGCTCTCATGGAGGCTCAGACAACACAGAGGCCCCACACCCAGCTGGGTGATGATCTTTTTTTGAGGGGCAAGGAGGATAGAGGAGAGAGGGGGAGGAGCGGAGGGAGCAGGGGAGGGACAGGGAAGAGTTGAGGGGAGGACACTGAAAGGCAGCGAGGGTCATTTGTGAGAAACACATGGTGGGGGGAGGGGGGGAGGCACACAAAGGGAGGTCCCCGTAGCCCAGAGCTCATATCCACAAACAGCCTCCTCAAATCTGTCTCTCAGGCTGGAGACCAACGCATTTGAGATCGCCGTTTTGTTACTCAAAGATGGTCAGCTATGGGCGGTTTCACAGAATTACCCTGATGAAGAAAAAGAAGTATTCGTCGTAAAATACAACACACAGCCCTTCCCTGCCTATCTGCAGTCTTGCTGCATCCTTTCACTGGCAAATTCTGGCGGTTTAGAAGCCTGATGGTTTGAGAGAGAGAGGACACGCACAAAATTTGGGTTATGTATATCATGATAACAGCTGTTTTTTTTTTTTTTAATTTTTAAAAAAGATTTATTTATTTGTGCATACAGACCTGGTGTACAGGCCAGAGGTGCAGGGGTGGTGAGAGGATTCGCCAGAGACAGAGTGGGGGGCAGAACAGGCCGACTGACAAAATACACTGCTGAGGGGAGCAGCAGGTGGGTCAGGAGAGGTCTCCTGCGCCATGTGGTCACCTCCGTGGCAGGTGGGGATCGAACTCATGCTGAAGTGGCTTTAACTTCTTAGTGCTGTGCTTTAACCCGCTGCACCAACAGGGAGGGCCCAACAGCTCTGTTTTAATATTATTGTTAATCATTCCCTGGGCCTAATTTAGCATCAGTTAAATGCTATCAGAGGCAAGTCACCCAAACATTAATGCACAGAAACCCTGTTTGGGGGCGGGGGAGGGGTGTTCGGGGGTGCTGGAAGGAGAAAGCGCAGGTGCGATCAGCTCACTACTAGGAAAGTGGACTCTTGTCCCTGCAGAGGTTTGGCTTGGGGGAGGTGGGGGGTACGGCAGCAGCCTTGGGTTCAGGGACCTGTGTGAGGGTCTCGCCACGCACTTCGGCTTTCCAATCTGCCCTCTTTCCTGTTTCCAAATAAATGCGTTTTGCTGTTGAAGTAACCCTTTGCTTTGGTCTGACGGCAACAGTCTGTATAAAACACAGCACAACCGGGGTTTGGCCCCCTCCATGTTTCAGGCATCCTCCGAGGTCTGAGCATGTACCCCAGATAAGGGTGGGGGGGCTATCCCACAATAAAATTTGTAAACTCTTTGCCACCTCTCCACCTCTTCTTCCCCCACCGCCTCTCCTTTCTTTATCTCCCCTTCTCTTGTTCTCCCTCACTCCTCCTGCTCCTCCCTTCCTCCTCCCTTCCTCCTCTTCTTTTTAAACATGTCAGGAGTCTAACGAGCTCACTTTCTTACCACCTGACACGACGTCACGAGAAAGAGTGGGACGTGTGATTGCATTTACTCTCACACGCACACACTGCATTCAGCAGGCATGCACGTTCAACTGTATGCAGGGGGTGGCCAAGCCTGGGCCCCAGCACCAGGCAGAGGCTTGAGGGGCCAGTGCCCTCTGCCTCCCAGAAGGAGAAGAAGAAAATACGATGAGCAGCTCCCTGTGGCACCGGGACACACAGCCTCACCCCACCTGGTGCCCGGCACAGTGTGCCCAGTGCAGAGCTGTCTGCAGTCACCCTGGCCCTGTCTGGCTGCCCGCCTAAGCCCCAGACGTTGCAGGTAGAGGAAGGAAATGGGTGACCAGATGCCAGGGCCTGTGGGCGGACAGGAATGTGGGCTGACGAGACAACCCTGGCTCTAGGGCTGCGGGGCCTGGGCAGGGCCCGTCAAAGGGACGTGTGTCCTCCCGGGGAGGGCTCATGCCAGCGGGGCTGTCTCCAGGGCCGCTGGGGCTTCAGGGCCAGGGAGGGAGGAAGTTGTCAGCACAGAGCCTCCAACACGGAGGCCTGCTGGCAGTGGCTCCCAACCCTTCTCTAGAGATTGCAAAAAGGTGCCCCAGGGAGCTCAGGTGGAAGCCACAGGCGTGGCTCTGCTCATCATCTGAGGAATCATTTCCGTTTGTGAGAAGAGACACATCCATGCCCCAGCGCCTGGGAAGCGTGAAGAGGAGAAACCGAGTTCCAGACACTAAGGCAGGACTCCTTTTCTCTGAGACTTAAAACAATGGAAAAAAAAATTGGAATGTCAAAGTCGGGACTTTTAGGCACCCTGCCAGCAGGCAAAAATGACTGTTTTCTTTCAGAGGGCCCCATTTCCTTTGTGTAACTTAGAACCTGGGGAGAAATGCAAAACAATAAACCATCTGTGGAGAGGCTTTCAGCCGGTGCAATTTGCAAGAAGTGCTTTTCCATCTTAGGAGGACTCTGCATTAAGCAAGGATTAATTAATTGCCACATTAAAGGAAAGCACCTTTAACATTTCAATGGCATAATTATATGCAATTACGATCCTATAAAGGAACACTTTATAATTAATGATGCCTCCATTTCCTGAAACGTGTAATCCCTCTGTCTAGAATTCCAAAGAGGCTGGCAGACAGAATGCACTAAATATAGATTGGGAACTAATATTTAAATCAGTTTTTAATTCACCTTTCAATATGAATAGTAAAATCAGAACAAAAGCTTACCCGACGAGCACGCACGTCTGTAGGTCTATGAGGTTACATAAATTTTCAGCAACAACACAGTCAAACAGAAAGGGTCAGCCATTACTGGCCTGACATCATCACCCCTAAATAGCAGGCTTTAATTCCTAAATAGCAGGCACGTTAACTGCTGTTTCAGAAATGCATTAAAACTCACCCCAACTGTCCTGGCTTTGACAGTTCTGTTCTTCTCACTCAACAAAGCACTGACTCATCGTGGTGACTTCAAGATGAAGATGGCTCTTTGTTTAATTAGGGAAGTTTCCCACGAAGCAGCAACCCCAAGTACCTGCCTGGTTCTAAGTGTTCAGGCCCAGTCAGTCTTCACCACAATCCTGCAGTTGTGAAGCACTATTGTGACTCACACTTTATAAAGGAGGACTCAGAGGCACTGATTTGTTCAAGAAGCTGCCCAGCTGCCATCCTCCTGGGAAAGGTCCACTCCTGAATGAGGTACCTCCCACGCCACAGGCTATCTAGAGGTCAACATGCATTGTCACTCAAGCCCCTGTGAGGATGCCCCAGATGTCCCTACCACTAATCTCTGGGTTTTTTCCTAAGTATTTTATTTCTATTTATTGATGCATATAAGAAATGGGTACAGGGGCCCTCCCTGGTGGCACAGCGGGTTAGGATGCAGCACTGCAAGTCAGCCACAGCGGCTTCAGTGCAAGTTCGATCCCCAGCCCTGGAGGTGACCCACATGGTGTGGCAGACCTCTCCTGACCCGTCCACTGCTCCCCTCAGCAGTGTACCTCTTCAGTCGGCCTGTTCTGCTCCCCACTCTGTCTCTGGTGAATCCTCTCACTGCTCCTGTACCCCAGTTCTGTATGCAGAAGTAAATAAATCTTTAAAAAAATGGGGTACAGGCCAGAAGGGCAGGGGATGAGATGCATCAGTGGGGAGCAGAACAGGCAGACTGTCTGAAATACACAGCTGAGGGGAGCAGCAGGCAAGACAGGAGAGTTCTGCGGCACCACGTGAGTCAGTTCCCTGGCTGTGATGGAACTCGGGCTGTTGTGCTGGGCCTTCCAAACGGTGTTAGCATTGACACTTAATCCCCAGGCCACCAGGGAGGGCCCCTAATTCCTATTGCTAGCCAAGCTCTACAACAACTACAGATAAAAATGCAGAAGGACAAAATCTGACCCAACATAACACCCAAAGGACTTCCAGGAAAAAAAAAAACCTGAACACACAGTTCCCCTCAACAACCACTGTTAAGGGGAAGGATGTCCTAAAGGAACTCTGCAGAGTTTTGTGGACTCCACCCCCTACTCCAGTGATTGGAAACTACAACTCCCAGCAGTATCAGGGAGAGAACTGCGAGGACCCAAGGGTGGAGCCAGCAGGAATTCTGGGACATTTGGGGGATAAATAGGATGTGATTGCATCTCTCACTCTCTCCCCCGGGAAGCAGCTCTCCTGAACTCGTGACTCTGTGTGTTCAACACATGACTCGGTGTGTTCAGTCAGCCAGCCCTAAGGTATTGCAGTTACTTTGTGTCCTGCTCTCTTTCCCTGGGTTGTTTCCTGTTCCTTTCCCCTTTTGTAAATAAACCCATTATTGACCCTTTGGTGTGTACCTGCAGTATAACCGAATTGTGAGCGCGCGGGTGAGGCCCCACAGACAGGCGGCCCAGTCTGCTCTGGGCTACCCCGTAACACCACCACCTCACACAAATTGTCTCTGCTACATTTTCCAGCTCAATCTACAGTGCACTGCTAGCTCCTTTCCTCAAAGGAGAGGAAAGCCCTGCTCGAGACCGCCTCACAGGCACCAAAGATTTACCTTGTCGTAATAGTATCGCAGGGCTCTGCTCAGCTTGTCGTAGTTCATGTTTGTTTTGTTTTTTCGGAGTCCCCACAGCTTGGCCACTTCTTCTGCCTTGAGGAGCTTGAATTCACCATCGTTGGAGGTCCAGCAGATCAAGTGCTCGTGCTTCTGGTCCAGCAGCAACTGCAACAGGAACTGCCACAGCGTGATTGCACTCTCCATACCTGGGGAGGAAGGGGCCAGTCAGAGCCTCAGAGCAGGTGCTGGCTGCGCGGGAAGGGCTTTGGGGTGTGCACCTCAGCTCCCTCTCCTCCCCCAGGGAACCTATAATGTCGTTCTCATATCCATCCCAACAGGCCACTCTAGTCAGATGCCTCTGAAGCAGCCACAGTTCAGAAATACCTGGAAGTCCCCGGAGCTCTGTATTTGCACACCCATCCCCCCCACCCCCACCCCCGGACAGGGATGCATTGGGAAGAATGTGGAAGAATTTTAATTAATAAATTAATAATCCACCCACTTGTAGAATCAGTGTCCCTTCAATTCACGCTGTCGGTTTCCATCCACTCATCAAACCCTTTGCAAGCCTGTCTGGAGTCTATCACTGACAATGAAATGTGAGCACCCCCGACCGGGCCATCCCCCCCATGGTAAGCCCAGAGTCCAGGGCCCTGGGGCAAGGAGGTCAAGGTACACGGGTCACTGTAAGATAGCATGAGCTGAGAGAAGGAACTTCGTTGGCTTGCTCTTTGCATCCGCAGAACACTGGTAGCCCATAAACACCTGAATATAGCTGGCACCCAACTGGCAGATGTTTGCGGAACTGAAGAATCGGTTACTGCCAGTTCCAAAGTCCTTCACTTTGCAGGCATTCATCATCTTGTGGATCAAATCCCACTGCCGCAAGTGCAGAGATGAGAAAGCCATTTTTTCCTTGCCAGGAGAGGAAAGCCTAAAATGTTATCTTTTTTTCTCTGACTCTGGTGTGGATTTAGTAATGCTGCTCCTTCTGCCTCCGATGCTGTTCCCTGGCTCTGGAGCCTAAGAAGCCCCCATTCATCCATCATGACCCAGTGCAAATGGATCTTTTCAAGGAAATTGCTCCCTATTTCCCGCGACAGTTTCTCAACCTCAGGTAATAGAGGACTTTCACAGCAAAAACTCGTATTCTACCAACAACGATCCACTTAGTTTCATCAAGTTAGGAAAGAGCTATGATAAACCTGTGCTACTGTGCCCCTCGGTGGAGGCTCATGGCGTCAACCAGAGCTCATCCCAAAGCTTAGAGCCCAGGCTCGGGACCGCAGGCCGAGGCAGCATCCCTGCAGCCGACCGAGATTCCACTGCAGATAGGAACTCTGGGACAGACAGACAGCCTAATGCCATGCCTCCGCCGTCTCTCTTCACCAGGCCCCGATGCCTTTAGAGACTAGAGCTTACAATTAGCATTGTGAGGTGTGTCTAGACACGAAGAAGCGTTCTTCTGAATGTGGGGTGCTGGCTGAGGGGGTGTTTGCACAGGAGGCAATGAGAGGGCTGAGTGCTGGCCATGGTCTCAGGCCAAAGGGGGGAGGGGGCGGAGATGTGAAAGAGCAGAAGATGGAAAGGCAGAGGAGCAAACGGAGGGAATAGGGAGACCCCCCCACACACACTCCCTTAGTCCCCCAACCCCCATTCAGGGATTTCCCAGAGAACCCCCTTCCTCCATCCACCCCAATATATCGTGCACCCCAACACATCGCTTAGATGCCAACAGAGCTCAGGTGACAGCTGTGAGCTGTGACCCTTCCCGCCCCCTCACTTCTCTCATTGGTGGTAAGTTACAACCAGGATGGAGGTGACTCACAGGGTTGCTGTGAGTGCCCAGCAGCATCCAGCCACCCCAGCCCCCTTCCCGGATCCCCTCCACACACACACACCCACACCCCCACACACACACCCTCCTCAGCCCCTCCCCCAGGTGTGATGACTGTGTTCCCCTGCTGGAAACCCCAGCCCAGTTACTTAGGGGTGACTGTCTGAAGTCTTTTCTGTAAGCTTATCACTTATCAGACTAGCAAGAACTGTCAAACCCACACCCCACCCTGGGCCACCCCACACACACTCACAGAAGTCATTCTGGGGTACAGTGTGGGGCCCCAGGTAGCTCTGGGCCCTCCCACCCATCCCGTCCAGTGACTAAAATGGGTGAGCCCATGGAGGGAGGAGGGCAGGAGCATCCCTGCCATCTCTGTTGGGGCCTAGCCAATTAAGGGCATCACTATTTCTTTGATTCTAATTTATTTTAATTACGAGGACATTAAAGTTTCATTTTCGACATGCATTGTTTCCACATACAACCATGTTTCATGTTCTATCACACTGTCAGCCTAAAATTTTGTCCCCTCTGGGCACAATGGAAAAAGAGTCTAACAAAGTGCTGACCTCCCTATACCACCAAATATATCAGCAAACCCACCCAACTCAGTCTCTCTCTCACGAGAAAAAAATATTCAAGTGACTGTGTTTTTTTTTTTGGTCTAAATGAATTCCTTCATGCCTAGAATCCTTAATAAGTTAACAGGCAGGTACAATAAAGTCCATTTATCTGGCTGCCAGCATCAGAATGTGATTCAGACAATACACGCTGGCTCTTATTAAATAAAAAGACCAAGAAAGTGTTGATACTTAAGATTTATGCTTCATACATTATTATGCGAATGGAGGTCTGCTTTAAGTTAAAACGTTTCATCAGTCTAACCTCATTCCACAGACTTCCCACAACTCTGCTTTAAATATACAGATCCTAGGAAAGAAAAGCTTATAAATCTTTTTAAAATATTCCCCAGATCAAATTTTTACTAATCCAGAAAATGCTTCTCTGTCCCGTTCCTCTGTCCAGACCTGACTTGGCATGTGTGATGTTCTCGGTCATTATAATGCCATTCTTCATGCTCAGAAGTCACTTTCTAGTTGAGGGTTAGTCGTCCATGAGTAAAGCCATCACTGCTCTTGAAAGAAAAGGTGGCCCTGAGCCTTTGACACCCTCCACCTCAGGCTTGACCCTGCAGGGCAATTGGCCTCTGGCTGGTCTCTCACCATTGCTACCAGAGCTAATCCAAGAGGACAGTCTGGGGAGGCCCCTCCAGAGAACACAGCTGCTCGCTATGGGCCCTCACTGCTTCTCTGCCAGGTCTCCCAGCACTGGCGTGCAGTCAGGTGTGGAAGAGCATATCGAATCTGAGTAATACACATACAGCCTTCGAAAAGAGCAGGGGGGAAATGAATAGGTTCCTACCATGAAGTCACTATTTTTATTAAACGTTTTATATGATCCTCTCTTTAACAACAAAACTTGGTACAAGGGCCTCAAGGTTTATAATTCTTATATAACGAAAAAATACAATTCATAAGCAAGATGCATGCCTTGTCTCCCCTCACCCCCACTTCCATGGAAATGAACTGATGACTTTTACATAACAGGTGTGTTGCTGAAATGCCTCCAAGGCTCAAAAAAGGTCAAGACAATGACCTCTCCAAAGGTGTTAGTTCTTTTGAGTCAATAATTTATTCTGCTGTCCCCTCAATTTTGATGGGGGTTGGGGGAGTGTCTGTCTTATGCCAAGACATCATGTGAACCAAAATGATGCAGCTCCCATTCTCACAAGCTCCAGGAGGACCCCAGAGTGACCACTCAGTGGCCGGGGGCTAGGGGTAACAGGGCGGAGCAAGACAGGGCCAGAACAGTCAAGGGAGGAGCCCTGGGCAGTGATGGGGCGCAGAGAGTCAGGGTTCTCACTAAGAAGATGAGAGCTGGAGAAACTCCTTCCTTGAAAAGTAATTTTCAAAATGGTTAAATCACTACACTCCTATGGATATCAATCTGAGGCACATTAAAGATTTGATTTTACTCATTAATCAGAGACAAAATTAGGCAGACGTTACAACATGTTCAAAAAAGAATCCATATAACAGGTACTGGCTGATGAGAACACTGAGATGATCGCAGGAGGTAAGGCCACCCTGGGTGGGAGCTGGGATGATGGAACCACACTTGCATAACTAGAGACAAGAATGATTTTACTATCAGTTACCCATAATTAATGGGGTTGTAAAATAGCTTCCATCATAAAATGAGAATCACATCATCCAGAGAGGTTCTTTTCATCTGAAACAATCACTTTCTGCCATTTACAGCAGGTGAGAGGAACCCGCTCTTGCTGGACGGTGACACAGAGAAAGAGCAGACCCCGGCGCCAGACTCCGCTGGTTCCCACGCAGCTCTGCTCTGGCTGGGGGCTTTGGTTACCTGCTTTCACCTTTCTGCATGTTGATGTCCTCAAAAGTACAGTGGGGAGAAGGATAAAAATGAAATTCCCTCCCTTCCAGAGTGGGTGTCAGGGTTAGTGGCCAGGAGCTAGTAACCATGCCTTTGAACTCACCTGCTGCAGGTAAGTGCTAGTCAAATGTTTGCTATTATTTTTTAAGCACCAGGGAAAGCTCTTCACAGAGCATGCTGGGAGGTCGTAGCTAGCAGGCCTCATTTAGATTCTGCACCCACTCAGTTCTTTGCTCGATAAGCAGGAACCCCACTATGGGTGGTGAAATGTAGGGGGGTGGGAGGGAGGATGTGCCATCTACTCAGTAACTTGTTGTAAGGTGACCTGGAATATGTTATGTTCCTGCTTTTTCGACTACCATCAAAAAAAAAAAAAGAATAAAATGGGTTTTAAAGTCTGGCAGAAAAATCCAGATCCCAGAACACATATCCACTGACTCCAGTTTACAAGGCCCTGGTTAAAAATGCTCAACCTGGGCCCTCCCTGGTGGCGCAGCGGGTTAAAGCACAGCACTAAGAAGCTAAAGCCACTTCAGCACAAGTTCAATCCAGCCCTGGAGGTGACCACATGGTGCGACAGACCTCTCCTGATCCGCCCGCTACTCCCCTCAGCAGTGTACTTCATTAATCGGTCTGTTCTGCTCCCCACTCTGGCTATGGTGAATCTTCTTACTGGCCCTGAGCCTCTGGCCAATACCCCAGTTCTATAAGCATAAATAAATCTTTAAAAAAAAAAATTGCTCGACCTGCTGCCTCTCATTAAGCAAAGAGCACCCTAGGGTGCTCACCCTTCCTTGGGCTCCCTGGAGCAGGGAGGCCAGACAGGCAGATGAGAGCTGCAGGGTCACATAAGCGAAGAACAGTGAACTAAAATAATAGCATGGTGGCCACGCAGCTCAGGCTA